AATCGGTTGTACACACGATATGTCTGTGTTTAAAAAAAAGTTATGTAATAAAATTTTGTATAGACAGTTTGTCACTACGAAATAGAACAGAATATAAACAAAAACTTGAAGGCCATTTCAGCGTCTTTTGGATTTTTTCCTAATTATGTGCCATTCATCTAACATTTTTACGAAATACTAGAAGACATTATAAAACTTTCTATAGCAAATTTTCTTTCTTTATCGATCTATCCTGTGAAGTTATATGCGGCAACAGTGCAAATCAAATTGCCAACTCTGATTGTTCACCAAATATTTTTTCTTGGACCTTTTTATACGGTTCCAATTGCCTGCATTAGTGTAGGCGATGTAAATGTATGCTTATTCTTAGAAAAATAAATTATTCATGTCAATCTTTGTTTGTAGCTACGTAGAACAACGACGTTGAACAAGGTTGAATATATGTAATGTTTCTCCTATAATCGCTCCTTTTTTTTACTAGCCCGAAATGAATAGGAAATATACTCTTTCCTTTTCTCAGCTCAGCATTTTATAAGAATAGTTGTTGAAAAAAAAACTAGTTACGTCGTATTTAGTGGTAATAAAGCCTATATACAACATATCGTCGGTACAATATTGAACTCGCCAATCACAAATTATCTAGTTTTGACATACTTAAGTGTACTTATGTCAATACACATAAGTACACTTATGTCAAATGTACCAAAATGTTAGATTGGCGAGTTTACTATTTTACCGACGATATATCTACCGAATGATTAAACTATCAAATTTTCAGTACGTCTGTAAGCGATCTAAACTTTTGTTTTCTACTAAAATAATAATTATAATTGTATTTTAGTACTGTTAAATGTTGAAAATTTTATCAAAGAAACTCACTGAAGGATGTATGACCAAGGTCACAATAACGAATAAGAAAAAAAAAAGTAGTTTGCGCGCGAAATAACGATAGCTGCTCTTACACTGAAGAGCTGACGTAACATGTCATTCAAATGTGACGTACGTCGTCAGATGGGTGTGTGCGTGACGCATTTGTTTCAATTTAAATCTATTGAAGGCAATTGAGGACCAGGACGTGATTACTCGTAGGAAATCTTCTAGCGTGCCTTGTTATATACTCTGATTTTGATAATGGCTGTTCCGCGTCACACGCTTTGCGTTTGCAATATTGGTATCTAACTATCAAAACTATCAATATTTCATCAACAGAAATTAAATGTGCAATGGTATGTTTCGTAGTAACTCTTGCTATCGTCCTATATTTCATTTTATGCGGGATGGTGGCAAGCTAGCGGGTGGTTCACCCGATATTAAGTGATAACCGCCGCCAATTCACACGTGCAACACCCGTAAGGTTGCAGATGCGTTGCCACCTTTTAATAAATTAGGCACCGGCTTCCTCACTCACCAGACGAAACGCAGAAGTATAACGCTTCCACCTCACGCCGGTCTTCTGTGAGGTCGTGGTACTTCCCCGGACAGATCTGCCCATTATTGCAACAGTCATTAGTTAATAAATGCCACAGTTAATTTCAGCAAAATATATTTTGTGAGTTGTCTAGTGTTTCGCATTTAGAACCTTCTTTGCTATGTTATCGCGTTTCATCATTGTCAGCGGAATCGATACTTTCTGGTACATACTTTGTTTTATTCATCATGCCTTCAAATTAAATGTTAAAGTAAACGTCAAGTTTTATTAATTATTTACCAACAAGAGCCTTCTGTTTGTCACGGTTAGAAACAAAGTGGTACGGCGAAGATGTAACATTGTATCTTTCACACGTTTATCACAAAACCATAAGGTCATATCGTGCCTGTGTGCTGCTAGATAAAGAAATACTCGAGCGCCGAGTGACGTCAACCTCTAGTTTTGCATGGTGTTTTTTAGGTGAAAACTTGGCAAATATACAGGGGATTCATCTGATGTTAAGTGAATATCGCCAATGGATATCTACCGTGCTGAGACCAGAGAGATCTGCATCACAAACGCGTTACCCCCTTTAAATAACTGGGTCTCGGTAAATCGTAAATTAAAATTGATTGCGCTTTCGGAAACTGGGTGTAAGTAAATTACTTGTTATTTAACAATCTTTCAAGGAACGCTAGCTGTAATTCCCCGATGATACAGTAGAACCATCGATTATCCGAACCAGTTGGGACCAAGGCTAGTTCGGAATAATAGAGATTCCATCCCATCCATCGTAGACGCAAATGTTGTGCGACAACATTTGCGTCTACGATGGATGGGATGGGAGACGCTTGTGACGTTACTGGAGATAGAATTTTGGCGTAAGAATTATGGAGCTAATGTCAAATATCTATCGCTAGTAACCAAATCTATCTGTAGATAGAATATTGAAACCGACCGTAAGTCATCGTTCGGATCATTGAGGGTTCGGATGATCGAGTTTCTACTGAAACACAACTATAAGGAGAAAACAACCAACCTTGTCTGATGACTCTACTACGTAAATTTTTCAAAAAAAATGTTTATGTGCGGGGTCCCCACGAGTTTTCAATAGCAATTGGCACAAACATATCATCTTAGCGAAGAGACTCATATTGCGCCATTTACTTTAAGTTCCTCTGATGCCTCGGACCCACCGTCGGGGTCCCGTCAGATAACACTGTACACACAGTTAGTGCAACAGCAAACATCATAGTTCGTCCTCGCCTTCGAGCACGGCGAAACCAACAAAACCAACACAAGATACACCCGCGTTCCAGGGCGGTTCTCACCGCCCCCAGCCACCGACTAACCGAGCACAGTCAACGGCTATCGGGGTTACTGTCCGCACCGAACCTCGATAGCCCGTAGGCGACACTCCTTAGCTAACGCACTCATGAGCGTATGCGCGGCCCTACTCACTGTCGAGGGCCTGAAACGTTTGACTTCTGGCTAGCCCACCGGTTCTGCGTTCGATGAAGCTTTAATAATCTCGGGACTGAAAGCGTTAACATCAGTTAATAAAAGAGCCGATGCCGGAATATGAAGTCTGAATTCTCTATATTATAGAATTAGCGACGAACGCTCGCTCGTAACCCAAAGTAAAGTTAATATTTATTTGTTAACAATAAATAATTCTTGTTTTGAGCCCTTATTGAACCTCAAAAACCACACACTTTTAATAATACTACTATTATTACTATAATTTCGTCCCTATTGCCCTTACTACATCCATACTAATCACATTGATACTGTGAACGCAAATTAGTGTAAAAATAACAGTTTTTCGATCATTAGTAGTAATGTTCTGGTTATATAACGGTCAGTGCAATTTGACTCCATTTAAAAGCCCCCAGTCAACTAGTCGCCCTCTTCTGTGAAGGATAGTACGTGTATTAGTACGTATATATTTCCTCGGTGAACGACGTACGAACAAGTAAGCTGTTATCCATTTTACTGTGAAGTCGTGAATAATTTGTCAAGTATAAACGCGTTTTCTTTCCGTTTATATGTTAATATCGTATTAGTAAATTGAATTTAAAGTTTTTTTTATCTAAAATTTTACAGTACAAGTGACTAGTATAACTAATTCAAGGATGATATCAAATTGTTCACGTCTTATACAATATATATTTGCACAATTTATTATTAAATAACTTATTACGTCATAAATATTTTAAGCGGATTTGCAGAAATGGGGCGTTACTTTTCTACTTATATTATTAAAACTTGTTCAGTGCTTTGTTTTATGACCCCTTAGGGTATAAAGTAATAAATTGATTATCGTATAAAGTTATGATGTATATTCTAAAGGTATTTATTCTTCGGAATGGTACGATTTGAAGATCTTATTTAATTTCTTCCTCAGTACGATATTGTTTTGTGAAAACTGGTTTTCTTAGAATTCTTTACAAACAAATAGAGAGAAACGGCAATTAGCCGTATTGTATTATATTGTTTTCAAGAACCTCTTTCAGAAACCGTGGCCGTTCAACCACTTTTCACCAGTACATTAAACTCTTATGAGTATAATGTATTAAATAGTCCATGACGACAATTCTTCATGGATTTTCTAGTCCTATATTTCTAAAATAATATAGTATTTGTTTAAGAGCTTACTTAAAGCTGGTAAAAACTATTTTAAACACCTTATTTGAAATACTGTTCAAACCTACGCTGTGGAACTATGAGTTAATGATACGTAAAATTGATTTCTTTGTAACAATAATGATATTTACTCGAATGTTAACGATCTGTTAAAACATTTTCTCAATGTTATAATAGCGCTCGGGACTATGTCATATAATATAATTGCTTTTCAATATAACAATTGACCTTTTTATTTAAATAATAAGGTCACCCCGAATCAGTCGACAGACTAATGGTTGGCTATCTTTATGTTGACAGTTCGATTTCGGAGCGTGAAGAGAAAGTTTTTAGTTTTTCGCATTTATCTCGTGCCATAGCGTGAATCAGCTTTGAGCGAGTTCGTCTTTTGTCTACGGCCATAATGCCACTAACCATCATGTGAGGTTACGATTAAGAAATGGCTAGTTAGTTCTAATAAAATGCAGTCACAGGACGGTGACACGGTTTATAACTAGATACATTTGAGTCTGAAATAAGCTCTGTGAAATGTTGAGAACGTTTGACGTGAGATTTTTTTTAATGCGAATCGCAAAAAGGTTTCATTCTTCTTTATATACGAAAGAAATATCATCCGGCTCGAAGGACCAAAACGATGTTGGGGCCTAACACCGGTTATGATGATATAAATGATAATTGAATTTATTAGAACACTTTATTTCAAAATTGATACAGTTAAAATGATACACTTTGATATGATAATTAGAAATGATACTTTAAGAACGCATGGTTTGCTTGATGACCGAACGTAAACCGACTGCCTGTCGCAGTATATTTTAATACTGACAACATATTGGTGGACTTTAGGTAACAATTGCAAACAAAGCTGTTTGTTTCTACAGTGAACCGAATACTTCTTTTAAGGAGGTTTTATGCAGGACTAACAAGTATCACAACATTTTTACAGTTCGAACAAAATGGAGGCGATATCGGATGTTCTGCAGCCTCACAAGGAGCTGGTGGGCACCATCGCCGCGGTGGTCACCATCGGGCAGATGTTCTCCGGCTCCTTCATATGCTACGACATATACAAGCAGGGCAGCACGCGGGGCATCACTATAGCGCCTTTCCTGGGCGGTGTTGTCATGTGAGTTCGTCATGTCATGTCACTTCGGGGAACGCTCGCCTTACGAGTTTCCACTTGTTCATTATGCCAACAGCAAGGGTGTGGAAAAGGTGGTGCTGTATGCCGTTTTCTCCTCCGTCCGTATGTCTTCTAAGCATGAATGGGTTCTGGGCTTTTCTAAGTGCGTTTAACAACAACGCTGCACCTCTACAGTGTTACTTTTTAGACGAAGTGCATACTTTGACACAATATTAATTGGGCATTCCGTAATTCAAAAAAAAAATATTAATATTTTATTTTGACAAGAAAAAAGCGGAAAAATATCAAATTCAAATATTGTTTGTTTATCCCGTTGAGAGTGGTCACCCTATTCATAAGCGATTTAGTAAAGCGTTCAGCGAACAGTTTTAGTGCTCCTGTATTGAGACGGTAAGGATAGGAATTTCTAATATCTATGCTTGAAGAAATTAAAAATAATCTTGAAAAAAAAAATGAGGTCACAAGTACGTACCAGATTCAGATTTAGAATCAAATTCTGCATGTTCGTATATATGCTCTGTTCATATATCCGTCGTCTATAACATCACCCTGTACATATCCATGTAACCATGATGGTGACATGGGAAGATAATCAAGCACTAACCAGCCGGTTGAAAGCGGTTGGAGTAGGAAGACAAAAGTATATACAAAAATATGGAGATAAAAACTTTAAAAAATCGGAATCGGTATTGAAAATTTTTCCTGTGACTGAATGATTTTTTTAATTGTAATGTATGTTCTATTTGGATTTATAATTATGAAGTAGGTAGTTATAGGTATTAATTGAAAATAAACTAGGACACATTATTATAAAGTATGGTTGGTGAGGGGTATTTTATTTTTAGGCTTCCGTACCCAAAAAATAAATTACTAAGACTCCACTGTCTGTCTGTCCGTCTGTCCGTCTGTCAACAGGCTGTATCTCATGAACCGTGATAGTTAGATAATTGAAATTTTCACAGATGATCAATTTCTTTTGCCGCTATAAAACACCATGAAAATAATAAAAATATTTAACGGGGGCCCCCATACAACAGACATGACTTATTGCCGTTTTTATAGATAATGGTACGGAACCCATCGTGCGCGAGGCCGACGCGCACTTGGCCGGTTTTTCAACAAGGCTTCGTTTTTGATTATTACAGACCGTTATAATAACGAACAAAGAGATGAAAAGATGATGTGTATTTTGACTACCTTTTGATATGTCAAATACGGAGTTAGAACAAAATGTTATTTATATCTTATCTTCCATCAACTGCTCCTTATGATCGTGTGTTGTTGTGTTTTTCGTAAACTACAGTATACGTGAATATCGTTAATTTCTTAAGGTCGTAGCTGCTGTGTGCGCTAATCCGATAGATTCGCCGAATTGGCCCCCATTACGCCTACTCCGCTAATTTAACTCGACGTCATACGGCCCAGCTAGCCATTACGCAATTAACGCAATAGTTCTGTGGCTGTGCCATAAACCGCCACAGATTAGAAAACGCGAATGCTTTTTTTATTGACACGATAAACTGGCTAGTGTGAGGGTCGGGTTTCAAACGTCTTGCACTACTACTATCTACAACCAGGTGTCCTGACCAGAATTTTATTCGACGAGTTAATCATTTTTTAATCATTGATGATTTTTCATGAATTGATCCGCTTCAGGCTGTTTCGAGCAGACTCTAATATATTGTAGTACCTGGAGGACATTTTTTTGGTAAATCACGTATTTTGGAAATAAAAAATATAAAAAATAAATAAAACGATCTGGTATAGAAAAAAAGTAAAAAATATAAATGTGTGTAAATGATCGTAATACGAACCGCGGCCGTCTGTTTTGGGGCCGCCCGATTACCGACCGAGCTATTATAACATTTTTTGCGGCGAAATTTACTGTCATATTTGAAAGTTATTTTTCATTTCCTGAAAACAGGGATAAAAATGACATTTTCTAAAAATGAAACGGAAACTAAAAACGGAAACGGCTCCGTAATTCCGATTATATATATATTATATATATATATATATAATCGGAATTACGGAAACGGCTTCAGCGATTTTCATGAAATTTAGTATGTGCGTAGATTCGGGGGCGAATCGATCTAACTAGGTTTCATTTTTATATATACAAGAATTGTCCGTTTGTTTTCCAAACCTGTGTTAGTATTTTAACAATTAACATTTGTGTGTTATGCTGCTAACTGATTAATGAAATCCAATTCTATTCTATATGATGAATAAAGATGTTTTGATTTGTATCCAACATAGCAGCTGACGCGGTCTCAATTCGTTATCTCGTCCGCAGGAGTCTTTTGAACCTCAAGTACGGCTTCATCCTGCGCGATGACACCGTGATAAGGGTGAACTTCGCCGGCCTCGCGCTCAACTTGGCCTACGTGCTGATCTTTTTTTTTTTTTTTTTTTTTTTTTTTTTTTTTTTTTTTTTTTTTTTTTTTTTTTTTTTTTTTTTTTTTTTTTTTTTTTTTTTAACGTGGGAAAAATCCTTTATGGATTCCCCGCTGCCTTGTGGGTAGGCAGCAGGGGTATGTGGGAGTTACACGTACCCACTAAAAAACCCACGTTGCACCTGCGCTATCGCTTTGCCGGGGACACGGGAACACGAGAACGCAATCTTCCGCGAACCCCGGCGCGACTGTGGCCTTCTCAGGCCTCCTCTCCCCGGGTGTTAGGGACACCCGGTCCAGCCAAATGGTGCCGTGTCGGTGCAATGAACACGGCACCCCTCTCAAGCCCTCCGCGGGGCAGCAGTTAGTCCCACATCTGCCGCCCCGGGGCTTGCTATCAGGGGGGAAGGTTGCGCGCGTAGGCCAGCCTCCTGCGCCCTGGTCTCCGGCGGCGGATTTCCAGGGTGGCAACTGCCACCCTCTCTCTCTCCGCGGCCTCCTTCCGGGTGATTATGTCCTCGCAGAATGCAAGGACGGCACCCCACGACCTCTCGCTGTCCACCATAGCGCGGACCACGGCAGGCAACGAGAGATCGTGCCCCACGATAGCTGTCAACTCTCGGCGCTGCTCCCGCCAGGCTGAGCACTCCTCCAGTGCGTGTTGGGCCGTCTCCTCGGCACATACGTCGCAGTGGTGGCAAACCGCTGTTGGCTCCCTCCCCGCTAAGCGGCACAGGTACCTCCCGAAACAGCCATGTCCCGAGAGAACCTGCGTCGCCCGGTAGGTAAGGGTGCCGTGACGCCTGTCCAGCCACCGACTGAGTACCGGACGTATGGCCTCTATGGTTCTTAGGCCGGCACTGGGGTGCTCCAGCCTCTGCTCCCACTCAGCAATAGCGAGTGAGCGCAACGTTAGTCTACACCCCCTCAACTCCTCTAAGGCCGGCAGGTGGCCCCGGGCTATCGCCTCCTCACGCCAGAAGTGCAGCGACGCGAGGATACTGGCTTCTAGATCCCAGGGAAGGGAACCTGCCAGCACGCACGCTGCCTCACCGGATATCGTCCGGTAGCCCCGTATGGCCCGTACAGCCAACACTCTCTGCGGTCTGCGCAGAAGCATCAAGGTCCGGCGATTCAGGGTGTCGGCCCAGACGGGAGCACCGTACAGGGCCATAGACCTTACAACCCCGGTGTATAGGCGGCGGCAAGAGTCGTTGGGGCCGCCAACGTTCGGGAGCAGCCTTCCGAGAGCTGCCGCTGCTCTCGCCACTTTTGAAGCTAGGCGCTCGAAGTGGGGAACAAAATTCCATCGGCGATCCAGGACTAGGCCAAGATACCTCATTGTCGGCTTGACGTCGACTCGGACGCCGCACACTATTATGTGGGCGTCCGCAGGTGGCGCATTCCGGGGCCCATAGAAGCATAGGGCTTCGGATTTATTAAGCGCCACCTCTAGCCCCAGTCGCCGAATGCGTCCCACCACGTGCGCCACACTCGCGGTGGCGAGAATAGCCGCTCGGTGAAAATTGGCACCGCGGGCGGTGACAAGGGTGTCGTCAGCATAACAAGTTACCTCGACACCCCTGAGGTAGGCGCCGCGCAGCACCCAATCATAGCCTACGTTCCACAGGAGTGGCCCTAACACCGACCCCTGTGGAACTCCACACGTCACCTCTGTGGTCCCGTAGCCGTCTCGGCACGGGTACATCACACGTCGGTGCGACAAATAGGCCCCAATGATGCGGCACAGGTAGAGAGGCACTCCATGGAACCGGAGCGCCTCCTTTATGCAAGCCCAGGGCAAGGTGTTAAAGGCATTGGCGATGTCAAGAGACACCGCCAAGACGACCTCACCCTGGGAAACCGCCTCCTGCACGAGGGACCTCAATCGCAGCACCGCGTGAATGGTTGACCGGCCCCTGCGGAACCCAAACTGTCTGTCCGCCAAATTTGGGCCGACGTGCTCCAGGTGCTTGACGATGCGGCTGGCGATCACTCTTTCGAAGAGCTTGCCCACATCGTCGAGAAGCACTATCGGCCGATAGGCGGACGGGGAGTCAGTTGGACGCCCTTCCTTCTGGATGAGGACGAGTCTGCCTGTCTTCCACCTCTGTGGGATAATGGCTTGAGCCAGACAGGCAGTAAACATCGCCCTCAGCCTGGGCTCCAGAGCGTCCTCAAGGGCCGGTACCCATGCTCGACCCGGGATGCCATCGGGACCCGGGGCAGTGCTCTTGGCTTTCATCTTTAAAAGAGCCGCACCGAACTCGCCCGGAGTCACCTCAGGCACTTCTATGTCCGGGTCAGCGTCATCCGTGTTTGGTGGAACCATCGTGGGTGACGTGTGGTACTCCCTCTGTGGAAATAAGGCCGCGGCGATCGCCGATACTAGTTGTGGCTGCAGGCTCTGTGTCAAAGGGGGGGCCCAGGGGCGAAGTTTATTCATCACCATCCTGTACGGCCGCCCCCAGGGATCACGGTCCAATGCAGCCCAAGAACTCCTCCCTGGCAACGGCGATCGCGCGGCCTATCCCCACCTGCAAAGCCATCTTTGCCGTTCTGAAGGAGGCGTACAGCTCAGCCTCCAATTCAGTGTCCCTGCGCCGTCTTCTGCGGCATCGAGTATACTGGCGTCTCGCGGTGACGCACGCTCTGCGCATTTGCGCAAGTTCTGCAGACCACCAGTATACCCGACGCTTGGGCGGGAGGTTCCTGGACCGGGACATCGACGCATCGCAAATCTGCGTCATCGCGTCCCTGAACCATTCCGCTTCCCTCTCGACATCTAAACTAGTGGGCACAGGAACCCAGGACTGCACTATTGCCGCCTCCTTCAGGATTTCGTGGTTCAGGCTTCCAAGGCGCCACCTTGGGCCACTGCCTCTCGAAGTCCAGCTTGGGCTAGTCAAGGCATCCGACAGGGCGAGGAGATTGAACCGAATGTACCGGTGATCAGATAGTGTCTCCTCACCAACAATCACCTTCCAGCCCCAAACGCGGCGTGCCAATGCAGGGCTTGCGAACGACACGTCCACTATAGAGCTGCCCTGCCATCGCACGCACGTGTCCACCGAACCTCTATTGAGGACAGACAGCCCGACCTCCAGGAGCCATTCCTCCAGTACCCCACCACGCGCGTCTGTTACAGGGGATCCCCACGCCGAAGACTTGGCGTTGAGGTCCCCGGCGACCAGCACGGGATAGGGACTGAACTGCCTGATCAATGACCCCAGACGGTCTAGGTAGCCCTCAAATTCGGCTAGCGCTCTGTTGGGGGAGAAGTATACTGCTACGACCACAAACTCCCCCAGCTGAGCTGCCACGAAGCCTGAACCTCTTCTCACGTTGGTGAGAGATGGGAAACCCGCAGCGGTCCTGCAGACCACTGCCGCAGTGCCAGAAAGGTCCCCGGCCCAGTTGTCACCAGGCGGGACGAAATACGGTTCCGACACTACGGCCACTTGTATCAACCACTGCGCCATGGTCTGGAACATTAGGTCCTGAGCCCTGGCGCAGTGATTTATATTCGCCTGCAGGAATGATATGGTGGCCATTTACTACTGTATGGCCATCGGTGTCCCTTCCTCCCTGGCCTCAGTGGCGTTTTGGCGGGTTGACTGACTCTGGGCTTCGTTTACAGTGACGTCATTTCTTCGACTCCTCTTGCCATTCGGTTTGCAAGAGGTGGTGCAGGCCTTGCTACCCAGCCTATGGCCAGCAGGTTTGCTCGCTCCGGCGCACACCAAACAGTGTGGTGTTGCCGAGCATTGAACAGATGTGTGGCCTAACTGACCACATTGGTAGCAGGAGCTGCTCCGGTCAATCTCTGCAGTGCATTGTTCCCGGACGTGCCCCAGTTCCAGGCATCGGTAGCACCGTAGGGGCCTCTGCGGAAGCAGCTTGGCCCGCACCGATGACCAGCTTATGAGAACACGGCCGGCGTTAAGCACCTTTCCAGCGGCACCAACTGGACAACTGACTACGACTGTACCCAGACCATTTTTGTTCCTGCGGATTTCCCCCACTTTGACAGAGGTGACTAGGCATTCGCCGTACTTCGCGACAGCTTCAGCAACCTCCGTCCTCTCCGCCGCATCGTCTAGGCCCGATATGCGCAGATCAGCGCTTTTTTCAGGCCTGGAGACTAGGGCAACCTCGTCGCCGACCACTTGACGCAGCTTTTCAGCCAACAAGTTGGCCTTTTCGCCACTATCTACCCCAGGGACTTCCAGGATCCGCGCACCTGTTGCGGCCTTCCTAAACCGGAGGGCCTGGATTCCCAAACCCTGGAAATCGACCGCCGTTCTAGCCTCTTTGAGGATGTCGGCATATGTAACTCCCTTTGCCGCTGCATCCTGCTGCAGCTTGATAACTACAGCAGATGAGCGAGGGGGCCTAAGCTTCGGCATCCTCTTGTGCTCCTTTGACTTTCCAACCGGTGCGGTTACTTTGGGACCACTGCCTGACTTTTTACTGCGCCGGGTGACTAGCGTCCACTCGGATGGCGGACCAGATGTCATCAGCGGTGGAACACCGTTTGCAGCTTGTTTGGTAACATCTGGTTGGGATTCGCGTTTCCCGCCCTTCTTCTTTTTGCTAATTCTTCCCGCTGGATCTTAGGGCGGGATGGTCCGGGTTGCAATACTGTCCCGTCAGCTTCACAGGAGGTCTCCTGCGAAGCTGTCGTTAGGGCCTGCGAAATGCCGCTTGTGCCTGCCCTTGGAGTAGCTCTGAGAGCGGCCACATAGGATGTGGCCTTGGCTACCATAGGTGGTGGTTTATCCGCTGCCAAAGGAGGGCGAAGGCGCCTCTCGGGCAACAACCTGTCCTCAAGGTTCTCCAGGCGGGCGTTTACCAATTTACCCACTGCCTCTAAAATAGAGCGCTGCAGGAGCTCTGGATCTACCGGCACGCCTGATGGGGAAGGGACTGAAGCCACCTCGCGTGCCTCTTGTGTCCTTCGGAAGTCCGCCCGAAGTGCAGCTAACTCGTTGCGGAGCTCCAGCACTTCTGCTTTGAGGCGCTTGTTCTCTGCCGCCATCTTTTTATTTTCCTCAGTGACCGTGGCCTTTGAGAGTTCCTCTACTGCTCCCTTTATGGCCATGGCCGCCTCTTTGAGAGCCCTGACGAAAGTCCCCTTTAAATTTTTTGATTTGCTTGCGACCTGCGTTACGATCTCTACTTGTTGTAGGACCTGGTCACGCAGGTCACCCGCCAGAGGCAATTGATTTCCTTCATTGGCTGCCGCTTCGTTGAGCCAGGCTGGCCTTTGTACACGCGCCTTCTGCGTGGCCTCCGCCACCTCCTTTTCGGCCTGCAGCTCTTTTCTGGCGCGCTCCTCTGCGGCCAGTGCAGCCTTAGACTTAGCTAGGCAAATATGCTCTCCAGCGCTGGTCGCAGGTTCCATGGCGGCGGTGCTCTTTCTCCCGCTCCTGCTTCCTGACCTTGACAGGTCACTCTGTGTGTTTGCGGTTTTCAGGAACCGCCCCCGCGCATCTCTCGTTAGGGTTGCAGTCGATATGCGTCCCCGGCCGCTTTTCCCAGCTGGCACCTTTAGCGCAGGTTGTTCGTCTTCGCTTGACACCTCGCTCTCCAAGTCGTTGTTTCCGCTTCTCGGGCGCTTTCTAACGTCCCTGAAGAACCTTGAAGGTCCTACGTTATCAGTAGGCGTCCGACTTATTTCACCTAAAGACGCAGACTTCCTACGGTCCATGCGTCCTTCCGTCTCTGCTATTTCACAAGGCACATCGTTGTCCGTGTTCATGCAAGTGTCCGTTTGTGATAATTCCATCCGTTTTTTTTGTTTTATGTTTATGAATTCCATTTAATTCCCACGCGTATTAGGTAAATAAAAGTCCGCCGGGCCAGTGACCTTGTAGCCCGGTAACCCTACATACACCTGGGGGTCGGGAGGTACCCAGGGTTGGCCGCTATGACTGGTTTGACGGTCCAGCCTCTCTTTCGAGCATCCGACGCCGCGTACCGCAACGCCGAAATCTCCGGATTTTTAGTGAGGTTTACTCCTCGCGGTCCAGCCGGTTAAGGCAAGACCCTCGGTTCTGCCGCAGGCCGCGAGACATGATCCACGACACCTGCAGCAGAGTACCGAGATCGCCCGGTGTCGACAGAAGCCGAGTGCACTTGGCAAACACACCGCGCGAATCACACCGTCCCCTCTCGGGAACTTCCTTTCATACATCACGCAATCACTCACCTGTTTCCCCTTTCCCCCCAAAGCACACACCTTTCATACGTCTCGCACATTTCCCCCCTTGTTGCATCCCCTGTCCTCTCTCACTGGAGAGAGATACTGGGAGCAACGAAGGCTCGCCTTGCAGGCTTGCCTCCTAGGACTTTGAGTCCTTGGACGTCCCTAAGTCCTGGTAAGGACTCCCAGAACGCCCTCCCCTGCCAGTTTTGGTCCGCGCCGGTGTCCCGGTATCACCCAGGATTGGATGATATTCCCCTATCCGCCACCTGGGGACGCGCCCGATGGGAGATCTGGCAACTCCTCACGGGTGGCCTACGTGCTGATCTACTTCAACTACACCACGGACAAGCTGAGGGTCTGGGCGAAAGTGGGCATCGCGGGCGCTTTCACCGCCGCCCTGCTGGGCTACGCGGAGATTGAGGACCCCAGGCTGGTGGAGAACCGCTTCGGCAGCGTGATCACCGCTTTCATGTTCTACCTGATCGCGTCGCCGCTTTTCGGCCTGGTGAGTAACCATTTTGTTGAAACTAAACTAAACTGTCAACAATTGTGTGGTATGCTGCTAATTGATTCAATTCTATTCAATATGATGTAAAGTAAAGTAACAGCCTATACATGTCCCACTGCTGGGCAAAGGCCTCCTCTGTACAGAGGTTATCAGGGCATAGTGAAGCACGCGGCCCCACAGCGGATTGGCGGATATATTTTTTTTTCTACTATTATTTCGAAGATATGCAGGTTTCCTCATGATTCCCTTCACCGCTGAGCACGTGATAATTCAGCACTTAAAATTAACAATGTCATTGGTGCCGGCACCGGGGATCGAACTCGGGTTGCTTGAGTATATTGAATTAAGGGGGGGGGGGGGGGGGGGAGGACACTGATATATCACGCCTATTGTTAATCTTTTAAAATGATCGACGGCCCTTGCCCTTGACTCGAGTCTCGATGCCATTTGATAGTTATGTAATCTGTTCCGGTAGATGGAAACTTCAAAGACAAAGTAAAATGTACGAAGCCAGACCGTTTTGTTCTATCAACTACACGAACCAAGTCTACCAGTAATGACGACCCAAATGGCGTAGTGGATAGTGTCTCTTGCGCCAGAGGTTTAACTGTGGTGGTGCCACGCAGCGGCCTCGGCTGTTGCAAGAATGGGCAGGCTCGTCCGGGTAAGTACCACGACCTCACAGAAGACCGGAGTAAAGTGGAAGTATAATAAATACTTTGGCGTGTCTGGTGAATGAGGTAGCCGGAGCCCAATTTTCAAAAGGTTGTCAACGCATCTGCAACCCCCTGGTGTAGCAGATGTCCAAAGATGGCGGTATTTACTTAACGTCAGGTGACCGCCGCTCCTGCTCGCTTGGCAACTTTATGACTAACTATGTTATGTATTTATTTACAAAAGAAAAGTACGCTTGAGTATACCTCAGTTACCTAGTATCCATAGTACAAACTTTGTTTGTGACTAGATAACGTTGTGTAAAAATATGCCCGGAAAAATATTATATTATTATTTTCCAAAGGACCCACTTATGTATATCGAAGATATGATAGATATCTATCAGATCGTATGATGACTAATTCAAGAGTAATCTCGTCTATTTGTTTTTTTTTTATTCTACCTGAAAGATGTAATATCTGGTCGAATATAATCCAAACGATGTCCTACAAACGTTACGTGTTTTAAATTTGACGCTTTCATAGAGTAGTCCGCGTTCAGTTCGAACAGTAGCATTTTGCGTAAAAAATGGCCACTGGACAAATTCGTTACCGTATTAAAATTATTTGGTCAGCGCTGGACTTACTACAGTACTGGTTTTCGCTGCACACTGGTTCGAAAACTGTTGGAGCGATGCAGAGTTTTTTTTTTTTTTTTTAACGAATGTTAACGCTTCCAGTCCTTAGAATATTAAAGCTTCATCGAACGCAGAACCGGTGGGCTAGCCAGAAACCACGGGTTTTAGGCCCTCCACAGTTGGTAGGGCCACTGTATTCAGAGAGTATTTTGGTATATAAGTACATATTAGAATAAAAATAATCAGATGAAAATGAAAAAATATCCCAAGAAATCGAAAATAATAGTTTAGTATAATATTTTAGCATACAAGTAGTTGGTATAATATATCTAAAATGTAATCTCATATATCTAAAAAATGTAATCAAAAACTGTCATCGACGCGTCGTCTACATGAACTATGAATCACTCGTTTTTATCAATAACAGCGTTGCGCAACATGCCAACACTTTAGCAGCCCGGTTCCTTTATTCAACGAACGGCCGTTAGTTACATTGTCATAACGAAGTCGTTACAACGAGTCGTTATGAAAGCTACGAAGTTATGTAACTAACGGCCGTTCGTTGAATATAGGAACCGGGTATATGATTTATGACCCAGTGTGCAACCAGTGAAGAACAGTACTATAATAAACTAATGTAAAATAAGGTATAATCCGTTTGTTAGCTATGTTGTACGTCTGATTCGGTGGGAATTTCTTATTTTTATTATCTTATTTATTATCCCTTATCCCACCTAGGCGGGGCCGGCACGACATTTGACTCTACTGTTGTTTGATGTTTTAACGACCAGCCGCTTGCCTGACGTCCTTTCGTGTGGACAAACACCCAGAGCTGGAACAATTAATTATCTGTGGGCACCTAAATACTTTTCCGCTTGCTAATCGAGCCCACGGCCGAAGGAAATGGGATTAGCATTTGCCCCAAAGAGGCCGTGACCTCATCTGCCTAAAGCATAAAAACAAAATGGACTTTTACTAAAGAACTAACATGCTTCTAAGAAATAACATGCGATGACGCCGTGAGAGACCGCTAGTCTTTTATTTACGAGGCTCCAACTCAGTACAAGGTCATTGACTTCTACAACAGCTGATGAGTTGCAGATGCGTTGCAGATGCATTACCAAACATTAAAAAAGTGGGCCCCTGTTACCTCAGGCACCAGACGAATTGCGAGTATTTTGGAAAGGCTGCATCAACCGTACGGCATGGCCGTACGGTTGATAGGGTCACCAATAAATTTTTAAATAGAAATCCATATAATAAGGATAAAGCAATGTAGATAAAAGGCTTTGAGATTTTCTTCGGTGTGGCAATCAACCGTTTAGGTTAGTGGTTAAAGCGTCCGGACGCGAATTGGGATGACGCGGGTTCGATTAGCGCAGCGGCGAAGAATGTTTCGTAATTTTTTTTCCAATTTTTGACGACACGATTGGCGTAGTGCGTAGTCGGGTGGACTCTCTTGCGGCAGTGGGTGTGGGTTCGATGTGGGAAAAATATTGTGCGATGAACATGGTGTTTTTCCATTGTCTGGGTGTTTATATATTTATAATATGTATTTATTTAAAAAATAAAAGTATGTTGTAGTGTGTAAGTATGTTTATAAGTTTTTAGTACCCATAGCACAAGCATTGCTTAGCTTGGGTCTAGAGAACATTGCGTAAAAATGTGTCCTTAATATTTTTGACAATTAATTTTTAATATTTGATGTTTGATCGTGGCAGTCTATGGGGGAGGCATCGGATCAGCAGTGGACTGAAACAGGATGAAATCATTATGATGATGATTTGATTTTTGATTGTTCAATATTTAATGATAGAAATCCAATCTTAAGACCGTACGAGTGATTTCCTTCCCCTAATTCTCCTTCTACTTTGTGCTCACAGAAGGAGATAATAAGGAACAAGAGCACGAAAGGCCTGCCATTCCCCATCATATTCTCCGGCACCATCGTCACCTTCATGTGGCTGCTGTACGGCATCATCCTGAAGAACAAATTCCTAGTTGTGAGTATCGATGGCCATATCTCATCGTTTCTACATTTATGCATCTGAATCTCTAGAAATGGTGTCTCGTTCGGCTAGCTCACATTAAACTTCGTTAGATGAGAAATAAATGAAAAATTGGCATCTCCAAGCAGTCAAACCACCTTAAACCGTTTTTATTTATGTTAAAATACTTTAAGATGAAACCGCTTCTATGACGCATGGTTCTTTTTAGCTTTCCACGATAGAGTACAAATTTAAATTTAATGATTAAATGGAAAGTAATTTTAACGGTAGTAATGCGATTGCGATAAAAAAATACCTTATTCACTTAGCGCTGTGTCCAACTCTGTGTTTGGACGTGATTATTTGGGGCCGTGTCGTCACCCAGTTTCCAGTAGGTACTACATTAATTACATAAAACGAGTACTATAGCGTTATCAAAGCGATAACACACTTCTATTAGTTGGTTCAAATCTGAAGATATTTTATTTTATTTTGTTCCTTTCATCTTCGATATTCACATCTGTGATAATAATATTAATCGATTAAATTTGTTTGCTTATTAGTTTTATTTAATTTAATCTTTGAAACTCGATTCAATCAATTCAAAAAAACTTTAGACTAACGAAAAGAAGTCAAATTCATGGTGTTACGAAGTTATTCAATTAAACCGTTATCGATTGCATTTATTGGCTTTTTTTTCCAACCAAATAGTAATGGATGGCAGACGGGATAAGATTTTAGTTATTTTTCTTTATTTACACAAACATAATGGCCCTTGTACGCATTGGGCCAGGGTTTGCGTTCGCGGTGTGTACCTGTTCAAACATTTGCGTACTGCTCATTGTCCATTGGCGCTCCTTTGATGTGTGCTCAAAACACCGACATAATTCGGCTTGCCGGCCAACGTTCGCGCCAACTACGATTTGTCACAAACGTTTCGCAAAATAGCCCTCTACACATTGGTCAAATGCATTGGCCCAATGCGTTGGTCCAATGTGTACAGGGGCCTTAACACAAATATAACTTCTTGCGTGCGTAAATACGAGTAAGTGCACACTCGCGTTATTTTTAACCGACTTCAAAAACGGAGGAGTTTCTCAATTCGACTGTATTTTTTTTTTATGTTTGTTACCTCAGAACTTTCGATGAGTGGACAGATTTTTATGATTCTCCTTTCATTTGAAAGCTGATGCTTTTAAATGCTCCGGAGATACGTAGGTAACTTCTGAAAATCAATCATAAAATGAATACAGAACGAGGTATTTGAAGTCGGTTTTGTTTTTCGTTAATAAAAAAAAATTACTTTTTTTCTAACAAAGTTTTCCAACGTTCTTTCACTGACGGAGCGTCGTTACTTCTCTTTTTTCCACAGCTACAAAACGTAGTGGCCGTGGTGCTGTGCTCCATACAGCTGTCGCTGTTCGTCATCTATCCCTCAAAACCCGCAGACAAGGAAAAGGTCAAGGCAAAGGCCAAAGCGAAGAAGGCCGACTAAGTGACAGACGCGACCTTGAACGCCTTGCTAAATTATGGCGGGTGATATTTAATCTGTCCCCGCGTGGCAGACATAGAAAAATGTTTTTATAATCTGTGAAATTTTGACAAGTATACATATTATTTCGTCTGTTTCATTTAATATGATTTTGTAAGCTTCTGCTCATATATTTAAAACTATTTGTCGTTCATATAAAACGATTCCTGATTGTAGAGATAACCTACAAAATATTTATTATTTCAAAGTGAAGTTTCAGTTGAAACTATTTGTATTTTTGTGCGGGTTTTCCTTTTATTGCATTTATATTTACGTCGGAAGGTTTTTAGAGCTTTTGTTTTTGTATGATTTCATTAATATGTAAACTATAATGAATTCATAGATTTACTATAGTTTTTTACTGAGCAAATTAAGATCAACTTAGATGCATAAGTAAAGTATAATCAAGATTGTAAAGTTTTTTCAACGCTTTAAAGAGTTAACATGATATAAAATATTGGAACGTTTGTCTATTTTTGATAATAACATGATAATTCCAGATCTTTGTTGGTGGATCGGTATTTTCTGATATAAATATTTATATTATACCTATATGTATACAAAAGTTTAAAATCAATTAAATGTTATTTGTTTATCGTGTTTATTTGTAATTACCGAAATGAATTCTGCAATAATAAATGTGATAATTTAAATCCAAACTATAAAAATGTTTTATTGAGTTTCGATGTAAAAAAACATTTTTATAAGATTTTCGAGACGAGTTTTTTTTTTTTAGTTAAATTTCACCCAAGGGGCTTCTTAAGGCTAGTGTCGAATTGTTAATGTAATCATAATTCCGTTAATATAGGTACAACGCGCTCAATTATTTTTTTACGTTATAGAACAATCTAGAACAATCGAACAAAACGTGTTTGTTTTTCGAAATACCTCGGGTAATAATTAAATTCACTATCCTTGTAGTTTGATAGTAACTATCTTCCTTCGCGGGTCGCCGACCCAACTCCTCGGAAGTTCACGATTTGCGTTCATTGTATCGTTCGCGTGTTTTTATGCGTCACACGATATGTGATATAAATTCAATGGAAATATTATTTTTGTTAATAATTCAGTTCGTATGTTGCGAATGTATTGCATTAATAAATTTTTCATATTTCAATTGTTTGTTTCATTTTTTCTTGACTTCAACTGATACTGGAATCGACGAATAATATCTATGGCGTTGCGTTTCATTTATATATTTTACAAAGGGATGGCAACTTTGACCGATATTGTTTTAGGGACCGTGGACTTAGCTCGGCATATTTTCAGCTCTGGGCCATTTAAAGTTAACGATAACAAAAAACAAAGCTAAAAAAAGGCTTTAAAACTAGCAAAAATAATGACAGCTCTTTCAACACAGCACAATTTATTTCACTCGGACAAAACAAACGGGACTGTTCATTGAGGTTTATTATCTAGAATTTAATGATATCTTCCTTAAGGGCCTTCAACTCCTTCGAGTGTATCCATTTGATGCCGGTCGCCGAAGCTGAGCTCGGCGGCCTCGAGATACACCTAACATTATAGAAACAGATAAAATAAAAATAATTATTGATAAAAAATATAATAAAAAAAATTATTTGTCTATATATGTCATTCCTTGAAACTTGTACGTAATACATATTTTTTTATTTCTCTTTAACGAGTTCATTAAATTACCCACTTCTATTTTTATTTAAATTTTTAAACGGTTTTATTTAGCTCGACACGTACGGAATTTATTTGTTTCTTTGGGTCAAAATTAGAAATTGAAATTTAAGCACCTTCCCGTTGTCAGATTGATCTGAAATTTTGAAATGGTACACACATTTAATTTAGATGACAATACAATGTTGTAGTTTTCAGTGCACAAAAAAAAAACAGAAAATAAAACCGTTTAACTTAAAAGTTTTTAAACGGTTTTTTATTGCTTAGCTAACGTCATCTCATAATGGGTTCCAATAAGCTCGTACATGAAGGGGAGGTGAAGTGGGAATAACATACTTTTTCTTTCTTCTGGTGAGTAGGGTAAGGCTCATTGTTTTAGGGTTCGGTACCCAAACAGTAAAACGGAACCCTATTCCTAAGACTCCGCTGTCTGCCTCTCTGTTCGTCTGTCACTAGGCTGTATCTCATGAACCATTATTGAACCACATTTGAAATTGTCACAGATGATTTTATTACTGCTGTCGCTATATCAACAAATAAGTACTAATAACAGAATAAAATAAAAAATATTAAAGGAGGTTCCAATACAACTGAGATATGGATTTTTTCTGCCGTTTTTATGGAGTCTGTCTTTGTGCGCAATCCGGCTGGCATTTGACCGGTCTTATAAAGTTTAGCAATGTATTTATGTGACACGTATGGGAGATGTCCACGGGCGGCGGTAAATACTTAACACAAGGTAAACCGCCCGCTCGCTAGACAACTTTTCACATAAAGAAGTCGAAGCTATATAGGAGCGCTAAATTAAATCACTGCCTCACTTTCGTGTAGATCACGTGACAATCTAACCACCGGTCGCGTTTGGGTCAAATGCACTACGGTGACCACCATATCTACCGTTGACAGCACTCGCTCTTTCCATCGACTGGGTTATCAAAGAACGTAATTCGTTGTTCAACACAAACAGGTCCGTCCGTCCGGGTAAGTACCACGGCCTCAGAAGACCGGCGTCAGGTGGAAGTGTTATACTTCTGCGTTTCGTCTGGTGAGCGAGGTAGCCGGGGCCCACTCTATTTATTTTATTTTATTTTATTTTTATTTAAAAAAACATTGCCCTCACTTTAGGATAACATTATCCTGTGTTGTAAGGACGTTTTACAACAAAAATTGCACGAGGACAAACACCCAGATGCGAAACAACCATCTGTGGGTCACACAAATAGTTGTCCCGTGTGGGAATCGAACCGACGACCCCCGACGGCGAAGCCAATACCTTGGCAACGGCGCCACGGAGTCATCAAAGGTTTCTATCTATTAAAAGGTGGCAACGCGTCTGCAACCAAACGGGTGTTGCAAATGTCCATGGGCGGTGGGTATCACTAAACATCAGGTGCACTTTAAAAAGAAAACTACTCACTCGATCTTCTTCCCGAAGAGGTTCTCCATCCTGACCTTGCAGTACAACCAGGGCCCCTGGTTCTTGTGCTCCTCCTGGCAGAACGCCACCCTCGCCTTCGGGTACTTGCAGAACTCCTTCAGCACGATGTCGTAGGGGAACGGGTAGAGCTGCTCTATGCGGCACATCGCCACCTTGTCCTGAAGTTTCTTCTCCTTAAGAAGCTCGTCGATGGTAATGGCCACCTTGCCGGAGCAGAAGATGAGCTTCTTCACGCCGCCTGGGTTCTTGGAGGCCGGCCCGGCCTCCGGAATAGCCCTGTTTTAATGCGTTTACGTAACTTTTAAACTTTTAAACTTAAATTTTTAAGACAGGCAATCCAAACCTCTCTTGGTTTTCCCTAGCATTACAGCCATTACAGTTTATTTATTTATTAAATAATATTTTACCATAAGCTGGTAGTAACTGGTATGGTATGATGATGGTAAAATATATTAAATACATAAAAATTTTATAAATATCTATATTTACATAAATAAATTATAACGTACATATTTTCATAGCACAAAAAATTCAATGTACCTATAACAAACGTCACCCATATTACTGATCATGTGATGAGCTAAAATATCCCTGAACTTTTGCTTTAATCACAATCAAGAGAGTATACTCTTGATTGCGATTAAAGTAATGTCTATATTTCGATATTTATAAAAATACACCATTGCCCTCGATATATCGAAAAGAGATAACATAGATATATCGTATATAAGTCCTAGAAACCCCGTTGCACAAAAAAAGAAGATATGGTAAGTATTAAATATTAAACAAGCCGTATACGATTTTGCGCCGTGTCGAATTTGAATAAAATATCGATTAATGTTTAGATACGTTTTTCGATATTGAATATTTTGTACATCGGTTATAAATGTATATATATAAAATCAAAAATATCGATATTTTTTCGACAAGAGGGCAAGGTCGAAGGACCCAGACCTTTGCACCCACAGGCGTCGCTTGTCCGGTTGTAAAACTCCCCTACTACGAACAACAGCCTCGCCGACCCTCACCTCTGGAAGCTTGTGCCGAACAGGAAGTCCTTGAAGGGGGACCTGTAGTAGGGGTGCTTCAGGCCCACCTTGGGCGTGCACAGGACGAGCGGCTTGCGGAACGGCAGCGCTATCTGCCGCCGCAGCAGGTGGAAGTAGTTCGCCGGGTTGGTGACGTTGCAGACGAACCAGTTGGCCGCCTTCAGTTGCTTCACTGGTGAAAACGATCGTGGTCGAATGCAATAAAGGCAAGATTTTGTTAAATTGAACAACGGTCGACGGTCGACTTCTGAGTTTGTATTCAAATTATCGAGTGTTTATTTTTGAGTTATTTATTAGTACTAATACTAAAAGAAATTAAAAATTTTATATTGCTCATCTCTGCACTTAAGATTAAACATTAAAATTTATAGAAAAAGTACGAAAAGTATCGAACCCACGTCTACGGCATTCGCGGCCTGGCACTAGCACTATAAACATTTAAATTATTAAAAAGCAATGGCGACATCTCTCTTGTTCGAATTATCGTTATAAAACGTTATTCGAAACTGTTTGTATGCTGGAAATGATATAACAATGGTAGTACTACAAGATATTATTGTGTAAATATGCTTTTGATAAGCTAGTGTTATAATATAGAACGGGTACAAAAGTGATGTAAACATCGATGACTCCGTGGCGCAGTTGCCAAGTTATTGACTTCGGCGATATGTTTCTTAAACGTCCTTACAACACAGGATAATGTAATCCTAAAGGGCAATTTTTTTTAAATAAAGCAAAAAATATTGTCTACACAATTAAAAAAGCATCGCTGTTTTTCCGATTAGTAAATTGTATTCCGTGGCAAGAATGAAAAAAAATAGGAAAATGGCGTACTCACAGACCATATTTTTGTCATCCAAGTCCGGTATATTGTCCTCATCGTCATCGCACTGAGTTAGGTAACGTTCGATCCTGGCGGACGAGTGTTCTGGACCCTGGTCGATAAGTGCGCTATTATTCGAAGTAAGAGTCAAAATCTGTTCATTTAATGGAGATTTTATGCCTATACATGTAACATACCTAATCAATACCATATGTCAAGTATTAAATGTTTAACATCTACGGACTCCGTGTCAGATTCGCAATTGAAAAAGTATCGTTTTCGATATTGAATATTTTATATCGACATATCGGATCCAAAAACCGTATGTATTCCGATATATCGATATATTTTCGACATCCCTACATGCCGGTACCCACCGCCCCGTCGATGCCGTGCGGCAGAGCGATGACGATGCCCGACTGGCAGATCCACTTGCTCTCGCCGTTGCAGGTGAACGTGTCGAAGATCGGCTGGGCGGTGTCCGCGAAGTCGCCGTACTGCGCCTCCCAGATGGACAATTGGTTGGGGCTGTAGTACGAGTAGCCGGTCTCGAAACCGAGGATGCCTGGGGGAATCAAGTTCTTGTTTTGTTATCTTAAAAGGAACGCTTCCTGTCGTAGTAAATAATCCATAATGCCGTCTTAGGCTATATCGACGCCCTAGGACTACTATAGACGCACACTTTGGGGCCCTGATGGAAAGTGAATGACAAAAACATTATTCTGCTATTATCTAATACTTTTTTATTTATTCTATAATTTCTGCCGGAATATTTAATTCTACAAAATTTCTCATTTCAATTTCTATTTTATTCTACCAAAAGTTTAAGCGAATACGTAGGCCATCCGGGGCCCCCGTGACCACAGGGGTCGTGTGCCCTTATGGAAAGACGGTACTGCATAATACTTTTCTTTTGTTAATCAATAGATACTATTATAATAAATCAATACATACTATTAAAAATATCATGTATTCTTCGAGAATCAATCGAATCCAGACTCTCGGGAGCAAGAGTCAGGTTTACACTACGTCAATCGGGTCGGCAATATGTTACATCAATAAATAAAACAGACATGGACGTTGACAGAATAAAAAGAAAACAATAAATAAAAACGAACGTTCATAAAACAATTCAATCGATAATAGAATCTCACCAAACTCCGACAAGGAGCTGTTGTGAAGCGAGTACTTGGCCTGATCAGGGTAAATGGTGTCAAGAACACGGTAGGTGGCGCCATCTACGCCCTGGTGGTGATACACGTGGTGTCTGTCGAATGAAGAGCTCGCTATTAACAACAGCAGTTCACGTTTTATATACATGCGTAGATCTTGGGATCTACGTATGTATATAAAACATAAAAAATATGTATATAAAAAATTTTATAGATCAGTTCCTCTCGAAAATTGGTTTTCGACAGGAACTGATCTATAAAATTTGATTTTTATACATTTCAAGTTTTATGAATCAGATAGTAATTTGAAATGTGTGATCTGTAATGAGCTGATCTAATAGTTACATATAGAACGCCTTCCCTGTAATAAACAAACGTGAGAGGCATTTAACTATCTATATCTACGTTTATATCGTCGTCTTCTTTTCGACTTTTCGATGTAAGTTAGGATATTGTTCAAACCCCTCGCAATAGTCTAGCTTCATTAATTTATTCAGATTCAAGGTCTATTATTGTGGATCGGGCAATTTAATAAGGATAATGTTTTTTCCCGATTTGCTCTACAGCCTAAATATGAAGACGGATTTCAGTATAATGTGACGTTACATATTATACTGAAATCCATCTCAGTTGTAGGAGTTAGATATAGCCCATGTCAATTAAAAAAATGGAAGATAAGTTACAATCTTTAAGGCAGTTGGGATGTTCCTCATGCTGTGAGACAGTATAAGGAGTACAAGATTAAGGACGCAACAGTCAACCAAAAATGCCAACCTAGTCATTAAAAGTCTACGGCAAAGTTGTTGGTTGATTCCTGCCTTTTCTTAACAGATCTTTTTTGGAACTATTATTTAAGGCCCGAAACCCATTGTGTCATATCGGACAGGTTTAATCCAAATTGTTCTTAGGCAGGCAGTATTTCTAGCAACTTCCTTCCCTGGAGTTTTTCCTATTTTGGTGACTCTTGTACCCTCGAGATCTTGTGACAAGTCGACGAGAAAAATAGATACAAACTTAGAAATTTATATTAACTTAATATTTGAATACCTGTGCGCCATCGTGCCCCTCTCAACGTCTTCGCCGGTCAGCCGGATATGAACCTGGTCCCGGAGGAGGGAGCCGTATGCCAGGGCTTCACCCATTGCCCAATCGGCAATTCCCTCCTTCACCTAACAGAAATAGATACTAAATTTTGGCATATTTCTTTAATCTGTAACATTGGCAAGATAGCAGATGATACTCCAGATTTAAAGTGATTACCGCCATGGATATATTATATATAATGCTTCCGTACCACAGTGTAAAAGAAAGTTCTAATGTATTTAGCAATATAAGTACCATCTTCGACCGATTATCCAATATTCTGTGGATGCCTTTGTGAATTTCGAATGCCCACTTCTCGGGCGGTTTGCAGAAGTGATTGGCGATGGTCATCAGGGACACCTCACTAATACCAGTTTCTTCCACCTGCAAAAGCAAATAATTGTTTTATACGTTTTAACGACAAAGTCCCAGGAAACGTTCACAATGTACCAATTTCTAAATTAAAAAAAATTGTAAAGTAACGTTTCTGTGTTAAAGGCTACTATAATATTAGTGATTATTCAAATGATAACACCATGACTGTGACAATGAATTGATTGCTCCAGCCACTTTCAAACGGACTACAATACATTTGTAAACATGTTTTTTGTCAAATAACGGTTAATAGAAATATCTCGCTGAATAACCGGTGTTAGCGTTTTCAAAGCGTAATGCTTCTATATTGAATAAAGATATTTGAAATTGTATAAGAAGAAAATCCACCATAAGATGCAAGAGAGGAGAGTTGTGTTCCGTAATGGAAAAAATCGAGTACCAATTGCCGCAAGGATAAGAATGACTAGCTTCTTGTTCCTTTCCCATTATGAATATTTCTGATATATCTTATTGTTAAAATCTCAATGGGGATTTGATAACAGAACGAGCTTCATTAACGGGCGTTACTTATAGTATCAGCGTATACATTTCCCACTGCTGGGCAAAGGCCTCCTCTGTACACTGTCTCTGAGGGTATCAGGGCATAGTCCACCACGCGGCCCCACTGCGGATTGATGGACTACATATTATCTTCGAAATATTTTTATTTTTGTTTTAATTTCGAAAATATGCAGATTTCCTCAAGATGTTTTCCTTAACAGCTGAGCACGTGATAACTCAGCACTTAAAATTAACAATTTCATTGGTAACCGGGGATTTTACAGGTTGCTCGAGTATGTTGTATTAAAGGCGAGCGCTCGGACACCGAGCTATCACGGCTGGTTACTTATAAGCAATCCTTTATCAGGAATCACGATCATTTAGCGCTATATCCACATTCAATATTACGGAAGAAAAAAAACGAATATTAATAATTCAAATCAAAATCATTTATTCATCGACATAAGAAACATACATATCATTTATCGATAGTCATTTTTTTTAATCTACCACCGTTTCGTAATGAGCTTCCCCTAACGGAGAAAAAACAGGCGAAAGAAACTCCGTAGGTATCCTCTTTTTCGTAATTTTTTTTTCTTAAAAAAATTAAAGTATACAACTGCATTTATATTACATATTGCATCCCTAGACTCGAAGCGATTTGGTTACTTACCTTTTTGGGATCCCTTGCTTCGAAGAAACCGGTCCAAGGTGTGTCGATCCAGGCCATGATGCTAAGCTTGGTCACCTTCTTCGCGAGCTCAAAGTGCTCGTTCAGCGTGTCCATGTACTCCTTCTCCCATTTCTTGATCTCGCTGTCGGTGACCACACCTTCCGCCTTCACCTTTTCCGCGTATATCTTGTCAACTGCGAGACACGCAAATAATACAAGCATTGAATCTCGAATCAAATAGTAGAGTCAAAAATGAATTTGGGGGCGTAATTTAAGGATATTAAGTTAAGCTTGAATATAGTTAGGATGTTATGAGGGGTTATACTGTAGTAGGGTCACGGAGCAACTTCTGCTGTTGCACGAATGGGCAGGTCCATCCGGGTGAGTACCACGATCTCACATAAGACCGGCGTGAAGTGGAAGTTTTACGCTTCTGCGTTTCGTCTGCTGAGTGAGGTAGCCGGGGCGAACTTTATTGAAAGGCGGCAAAGCATCTGCCACCCTGCGGGCGTTGCAAATGCCAATGGACGTCAGGTGAGCCGCCAGCTCGCTGGCCACACAAAAGGAAAAAGTGCATTTTGTGACACAATTTGTGTCCCTCTGCGCGGAAGAAGTGAAACTTCGAGTGCCACACATTCACACTCGCTCCGTCTCTTTCTATTACCCCTCCCCAGGAGCGTTGAACGTTCAACGCAACGGTGCTTTCACACGCCGTCCATTGTAGCGTTAAACGTTTAACGCAACCTTGTTGGAAGTGGCATTAGACGTTTCACTTCAAAAACCCCGCCCACCGGTCTGCATCGTCTTGATCTTCTTGTACATGAAGGGCTGCGTGAACATCGGCTCGTCCTCCTCGCTGTGGCCGAAGCGGCGGTAGCACACCAGGTCGAGCACCACGTCCCTCTTGAAACGGCACCGGTACTCGATCGCGACGCGCGCCACGTGCGCCACCGCCTCGGCGTCGTCGCCGTTCACGTGCAGGATCGGCGCGTCCACGCATTTCGCCACGTCTGACGAACAAACTAACTGTGGTAACTAAGCTTACGGCGGTAGGGCCACGCAGCAGCCTCGGCGGTTGCACGAACGAGCAGCCTCGTCCGGGTGAGTACCAGGACCTCACAGAGGACCGGCGTAAAGTGGGAGTGTAATACTTTCGCGTTTAGTCTGGTGAGTGAGGTGGCCCGAGCCCAATTTTCAAAAGGTTGTCAACGCATCTGTTACCCTCGGGCGTAGCAGATGCCCATGGGCGGCGTTATTCACTTAACATCAGGTGAACCGTCTGCTCACTTGGCAACATTTCACATACAAAAAAAAATAACTGAAGGCCGTGCTATTTCGACAATCAACAATTTGATGTGTGTGGACCGCCAGCTCGAGCTCACCTAAAAAATATTTACAAGGCATGTTAAGTCGCATTGGGGTCGCGCGATGGACCATACACTATTACATTCTGTACATACCTTTGCCCAGCAAGTAGGACTTAAATAAGTATATATAAATTGCAACATTTATGATCTGTGAGTGCCAATAGATACTCCGTTACCATCCGCTAAACCGGTTTGTAATATAAAATGACGTACTCTTTATACCTGAGCTAGGAATAGCTGTATTAAGATACCAATTTTTTTTATTTCTTTCGCATGACGTCAACACAAACAGTTTTACTGGTGACAACTGAAGTTGGCTCGAATGTGCTTAATGTAAAGCCAGCGAGACTGCTACTCACGATTGAGGCAGCTCTTAAGAAACCAGAAATATCTACATAATTTCCGCAGAAATTACCTGTGCAGTAAGGCGAGCCCCTAGCGAACCTAGGATCCGTTGTGTACCCGATCTGGTTGTTGACGACGATGTGGATGCTGCCGTGGGTGGTGAAGTTGGGCAGCTGGCCGATGTGTGTCGTCTCGTAGACCACGCCCTGGCCGGCGAACGCGGCGTCACCGTGCATTATGATCGCCATTACCTGACCAAGTAAGAGAATGAGTCAAAATCTTCCATACACGATGCGCATAGGTACTTAAGCTGAGACGTAAACTCAAAGTGGATGCTGCCACTTATAGAAATCTATAACGCATTCCTCATTTAAGATAATTTCTATAAAGATTTAATAAATTAACATTACAGAAATCTGGTACCATGATAGAAGGTGACATAAATAATGGTACGAGGGATGCACCCAGTGTTGAATTCCACTTGCCGCCTGCTTTACTTGGTTCACCTCTACGTCTACCCTTAATGCACGTCGGTTACAGTTAGGTGCTTATGTCGCCCACCCTTGGTTTCCAGGTTCCCGTGTTTCAGTGTTTCGGTAACCGAAACTGCATAATGGTCCATCGTTCTTACCTGTGTTGGGAGCATAAACAAAGGATAAACTTTCAGCTTTTATAAAATGACGAAGGTTTGGCGTTCACGAGCTCATTATGTCGTATAGACCATTATGTCTCATTGGCTCATTATGTCGTATATGTGGCCTAAGCGAAGGCAAAGATGGTGACCACCTTATCGCCGTTCTTGTCGCCGGTCCAGTGCTGCTCGGCACGCGCCTTGCCCACCACTACGGGCGTGACCACCTCCAAGTGCGAGGGGTTGCAGCTCATCGACACCTTTATGTATCTGTTGGTACGCCTGATGAACCGGTGGATGTGCGTGCCCAGATGGTACTTGATGTCTCCGGAGCCCTGCAAGACAAAAAGGCAGCGTAAACTCACTATAATACATATAAGTCACTGTATAAATAGGTGACACCCCTTGAATACGTACGTACAAAAATACGTACAAACGTAAAAAGCTGGCGGTTCACCTGGTGTTAAGTGATAACCGTCGACCATGGATACAGCAACAGCTGTAGGGTTGCAGATGCGGCCGGGCAACCTCACACACTAGACGAAACGCAGAAATGTAACACTTCCTCTTCACACCGGTCCTCTGTGATTTCCTGGTACTTACCCGAACGGACCTAACCATTTGTGCAACAGTGAAGACTGTGGCCCTACCACCGCTAAGCGAAACCATTTACACTCACCACTTCCTTGGGCTCCATAGGTCTAAAGTGAGCGAAGATATCAGTTAGCTGCTTGCGACACACGTTGACCAGCACATTGAGGCGACCTAAATCATCATAAAATGTAAATATCTACATCTTTACTGTCATTAAAATCTAAATTGCATCATTAGCTAACAAGTGGCTACTTTATTGTTAACAAATATGTGTAGATGTGTGGTTGCTTTGCATTTGGATGTCTCATGGCCGATGCTTATTTTACATTAATTCCATTGTATATATATTTTTTTTAATTTTGTATTCAAAAGGCGCGTGTTTGTCGCCGGTTTCTTTTTGAACTTCAAACAATTTAAACATGCAGAGGCATTTCTTTTAGGTTATGTATTCGGCAACCTTTTCCACAGCAGTAGTTTCAGTACATTGTAGGACTCCGATTCCGTAACATTATCTATAAAAACGGGAAAAAAAATCACTTCTGTTGTATGGGAGCCGCACTCAAATATTTTTTTAATCTGTTTTTTAGTACTGTTATAACGGCAACAGATATACATCATCTGTGAACAAGTTAACTGTCTGTTTTCACGAGATTGCCTGGTGACAGACGGACAGACAGACAGACAGACAGCGGAGTCTTAGTAATAGGGTTCCCTTTTACCCTTTGGGAAATGGAATGGAATAGAAAGGGTTCCGACAATAATCTTCTTTTAGGGAAAAGAAGACTATTGTTGCTAGAAGTGGAGCATTTCCACTAACCCCTATGCGGCATCGCCATTACGATCGACTCCACACCCAGCTTGGTACTGGTGTCCACGATCTCCTCCAGCATCACGATGAGACTCTCGCCCCCCTCCAGCCCGAAGCGTTTCTCCGCCGGCCATTTTGTTGCGAAATATTTTTCAATGCTGACAAATTAAATCGACATAAATATGCAAATGCAAAGTTATCTTTCGACGATGATCTATTTTCAACCAACTTAACGGAACTTGAAACAACCAAAACGGAGAAGATTCTCAATTCGACTGTAATTTTTTAAATGTTTGTTACCTCAGAACTTTCAACCGGGTGAACCGAATTTGATGATCCTTTTTTTATTTGAAAGCTGGCGCTTCCCATGTGGTCCCATATTAATTTCATTGGTACTGGATCTTGGGCTTTGAAAATGAATCATAAAATGAATACAGAGCGAGATATTTGAAGTCGGTTTTGGTTGGTTTGGTTTCGTTTATATCAAAATTGACTTGTATAATAATCATTTAACGATAATTCACACCTGGACAGCGTCTATGCATTTATAAAGCCCGACCGTGTGTGGAATACTCCTGCCATATTTGGGCTGGCGGTGCAAAATATCACGTAGCTGCTCTGGACTTGTGCAAGTGACTTATTCGTGACCTGACCTATTTATTACCAATGTACCCTATCTCGAGCATAGGCGCAGAGTAGCCACCTCTCTGTTCTAGATGCTGTATTCTGAGCCCCGCAATAGCTTCTGCTGTTTTATTTTCTGCATTCTGCTGAATGGCCGCGTCCGGGGAATTACCACGGCCTTACAGAAGATCGTGAAGTTGAACTATTAAGCTTTCGCTTTGAGTAATTTTGAGTGAAAATTGGTGATTTAGGGAGCCGGGTCAAATTTTATAGGTTGCCAACGCATCTGCCAGCCATCGGGCGTTGAAGATGTCGATGGGCGGCAGTATTCACTTAACATCAGGTAAATCACCTGCCAACTTCATAACTTTTAACATAGAAAAAAGATTATTTGTGAATCTATAAAAGTAACACAAAATTTATTAGTCTTGAGGCTGTACAAACTCACAAAACTGCTTTCGTCAGCCTGCGCATGATGATTTTCTTGTGCTCCACCGACATGTCCATGACGCCGGGTGTCTCCATCCTCTCCCTGATGAACTGGATGCCGTCGATGTCGTGGACGTGCATATACTCCACCCCGATGGGGCCGCAGTACGCCTTCTCCAGGCGTCTCTTTATTTCTCTGCGAAGGAAGGTCTCTTCAACAAAATGACAAAGAAAACATAAAATGGCACATTTTGTTACATCTTTATTGATTACGAATCGAACGGCCGACCTCCGTTAAGAAGTCTATCACATTTTTTTCATTTGCAAAGACGCGTATTAGTATATTGGGGTTTTATTATTAGGACGTGACAAATAAAACAATTTAATCATAGTTAAGTACTATATGTAAGAAAAGAAAATACTATTTATGTCTTCTGATTAGACCGATAAAGTAAAATTTTCTATAGGATTTTCTTTGCTTGGCCTTACTAGTGAAACGAATAGAATGTTCTAAAAACTAAGAACAATGTTTTTTTTAAAATGGGCACTAGAATAAAAAAATATATTTTGGACAAATCTGTGAGGGACTTTTGGGGATCGTGAAAGCTGGAATAGGCCGTACGGTTTAACCGTAATATTTCAAATAAAAATCAACCAGATCTTGATAAATTGAATAAGTAAATAAACACTAGACAGGAAAACAATTAACGCTTGACCCAACAAAGCGAACATAAAATAATATACCTCACCTTAAAGGTAGTTTTGTCTCTTCACCCCCAATACTAGTTCTGTCCGTCAGTTCAAATTCCATATCCATGTGTTTATCGCCTGAAAATCACTAAGCTATCTCAATTTTTGTAGGCAAAGGGAAATCAAATAACATTTTAGTATAATCACAATATTAGTATTTATTAAGCTATGCTAATAATAGGTTACACTCAAACATTAAATGAAATTCATTTTCAATTCAATTCTCATGAAACTTTTACATAATTTGCGGTGGGAACAGCAGAAATTTCTCTTAGTACAAAATAGCTCAACAGCTAATAAGAACATCACATGAGAACAGCCGAAACTAGACAAAAGTACTAAGTCATTTCGATTAAGAAAAATCCACAAAACTCACTCAGAACGGTTCCCAATTCTCTGGCGACAAACTTGAACTCCAGGCCCTTATCATCTAGTTCTAAGTTTTGCGCCTTCGTCATCCAGTGGGCCGCTATGGTCAAGTTTAGGGGATCGGTCTTGGCCAAAAGGTGGCCCCGAGCCTACATGATTTACTCAAATCATTAACACAATTAACGCACCATCAAATAATACTAAGCTTACAGTCTTTATCTTACTGAATTTGAGTTCATCTTCATCTAAAAAATCTGCGCGCAATTTTTATTCAACATGCGATTGGTGAATACAAATATTGCTAAGCGACAGGCAGAGTGGGGCCAGGCCACACAACGGGTTCTGCTTTAGCAAGAATAGGCTAGCTCTTCTAAAATACCGGCATCTAGTGGAACAATTCTACATTTCTTTTGAGTGAGTTAACCGGAGCTCACTCTTACATATAGATCTGAAACCTGACAGGTATTGTCCATGGACGGTTGTAATCACTTCACAATCGTGAAAACTTCTCTTAACTTTTACCGTGCCTGTCATGATGGTATGTGAGTGGTAATTCTGAATCCAATGCCAGATTTCATATTTTTAAACCGTTGCGATGTCAAAGGCTTTGACTCAAAGCCATGGCTTTGTCGGAATAGATTGATGTGATTTCCTTTTCATGCTTATATTAACTATCCCTCACTGCGTTTGAATGCTTTGATGACTCCGTGGCGCAGTTGTCAAGGTATTGGCTACAGCGCCGCGGGTCGTGGGTTCGATTCCCACACGGGACAAGTGTTTGTGGGACCCACAGAAATTTTTTTCGGATCTGAGTGTTTGTCCACGTGAAATTTATGTTTGTAAAACGCTCTTACAACACAGGATAATGTTATCCTACAGCAAGGGCAACGTTACAAAAATACCGGCCAAGTGCGAGTCGGACTCGTTCACGAAGGGTTCCGTACCATTATCTATTAAAAGGACAAAAGTTCACGTCTGTTGTACCTTGTTACCTTTTGGATACGGAACCCTAAAATGAATTCCAAGATGAAGCTAATTGTATTTAGCGTAGCCGTATTGTTTTATGTACAGTACAATTCTTAACGACTTCCTGAGAAATAATGAACCATGAACACGTGACTACGTAGCAATATGGGCATTAACTTAGCTACTGCGTTTTCTAGTGCGTTTTCTAGTATAATTTGGAATGGCCTTTCGTAACTTAAATATTGCTACTACTTATAAAGTTGTTTCTGTATTTTGTTAGCGTCAAAAAATGTATCTCATATAACCTGATAGCTCCTTATTAGATTCTGAACAGCCAAATGCAACAGGACTTGATCCGAGTCTTTCTCTTCGCCGCACTTCTCCTTAGGATCTGATACAAAATGTGCCGTTTATAAAAATATTTAATATATTTAGGACACGTTCTTTTTTTTTTTACACAACATTCTCTAGTCCCAAACTAAGCAATGCTTGTACTATGGGTACTAGAAAACTGATAGACATACATAAACATACTTTTCTTTGGTAAATAAATACACATTATACATATATATAAACACCCAGACACTAGAAAAAACACTATGCTCATCACACAATATTTTTCCAGTAGTGGGGATCGAACCCACACCCTCTGGCGCAGAAGGCAGGTACACTACCGACTACGCCATTCGGGTCGTCTAAAAAATGCGCACAAACAACCTAGAGTATGCTCCTTTGGCAAAACTCATCGCCAGGACGTACGAAGTAGATTATTGTCGTTTACCAGTTGGTTGGCATTACGAGAATATTGCGATGAAACTCACATATGTAAAAACTAATGCCCAAGAGTAAAATATTATCTTTGTTAAACAAAATAATAGTTATTTTCGCCAGTTATTTTTTATAACCACCCAGAATGTCAGTGTAACAATACTTTTATTATTTAGAAAAGTGTGGGATTTCGTAAATTTATAGAAAAATGTGAGTATTTTTTAAAAAAAAGTTCCTTCAGTAGCTTTACATTTAACATGTCAACAACGAAATGGTGGACTCTACTAATGAAAATAACAAGTAATAAATAATAAATATTCTTTTTCTCGTAAACTAGGAGCGACCAGAGAATTCTGCTTGTTGATTATTTCATTAGTGATTTTTCTTTACCGAATAATTTCTTTTTGTTAGGTGGAAAAACACTCGGCGCTAATGGATAATTTAACCACCTTTCTGTTTCTGTCTTCCCCTAATAAAACCTCTATTCTTTAAATGTTGGAAAATGAAAATAGCTTACTTATTGTCTTTGGTGTAAATTCATCTTCAACCTCTTCGATTTGCAGCGTAGGTGCGTTTACGCTCTTATAGAAAGAATCCCAGGACTAAAATAAATTTTTGATGTTAGAATATACCTGTTTGTACGTGATCAGCACCAACAATGTACTTTTGAAACATCAGAGGCTTTACATATTCGTTGCCGTCTTTTGAGGTAGGAACACGGCCCTACCCACAGCGGAGGGCCCAAACTCGTGGGTTCTGGCTAGCCTATCGGTTCTGCGTCAGATGAAGCTTTAATAGTCTCGGGACTGAAAGCAAAAATATCAGTTAATACGAGATACAAGACAAGGTAGGAACATGCTCTCTTCTTCTCTATCTTAAATAATGTTTGACATTCAAATTCTTTTAGTAACGTGGACAAGTTAACATTCAAATATCTTTGTTCAATATAGAAGAATTACACGTTTTTGTAATTATTGATTGTCAAAACACTACCACCGGCTCTGAAAAGAAAAGCCACTGACCTGAAAATAACAGGCGATAGAAACTCAGCGGGAGGTTTTCTTTTGTATCATTAAATGACAAAGAAATTTTGAGATATACTTGTATGACAAGTATATAATCAAAGCAAAGGAACATGTTTATAACGTATTAAAGTTATTATCATTTAAATAATCACTAATCCGGCAGGTCCGTCCGGGGAAGTACCATGTCAAAGAAAACCGACGTGAAGTGGATATGTTACATTTCTGCGTTTCGTCCGCGAGTGAGGTAGCCGGGGCCCACATTAAAGGTGGCAACGCATCTGCAACCCTAAGGGTGTTGCAAATGTCCATGGGCGGCGGTGATCACTCAACATCGGGTGAATCGCATGCGGGTTTGCCACCTTCTCCAATTAAAAATGAATTGACTTAATAGAAGAGAGGTCTAGTATTCAACGTTGACCTGCTTGGATAAACCTAGATGAAATTTGAATAAAACTAAAAATTTACAGACCGAATCTACCGCTCCCTTCTTCGTCCAATCGACATATTGAGCTTCTAGAAAGTTAGCGTTGGAGCCACATAGAAAGGATTCCGCCTTCGACGAGCCCAATCGACACGTGAAATGTCCCTTCAGCTGGAAATAATAGACCATAATTGACCATATAGATTAGGGCAATATTGAATAAAACAGTACTATTTTAGAAAACTGCATTATCGTGGCAGATTCTACTCTGAATCAGGCGAAATATTAGACCGTTTTACAGGTTATTGATAGAAGCTCAAATAGCGTTTGACTGTTTTAATTTTCTCTACGTCATTGCAGAATGATCGATCCAAATGTCCTTTAACGTTTATGTTTAAACTGAAATCTAGTTCGATTTCAGTTTAAACAATAAACAACACTTTTTGACTAGCTGTTTTAATTACTTTATCGTCACGATTATCAGGTCCGACATACCAAAAAACTTTATAAATTAAATAAATTATGGCCGAAATAACGATGGTACGACACAATGAAGATTTAATAAAGGGCAACTTACAGTTGTGGAGTCGTTATAGCTCAGTGTCCGGGCGCTACCCTTTAATTAAATTAACTCGAGCAACCTGAGTTCGATACTCAGTGCCAGCACTAATGAAATTGTTAATTTTAAGTTATGACTTATCACGTGCAGTTCCATTCCGCAGTGAAGGAAACATCGTGGGGGAACCTGTATATTTTCGAAATCATAACAAAAATAAATATTTCGAAAATATGTGAAGTCCGCCAATCCGCAGTGGGGTCGCGTGGTAGACTGTGCCCCGATACCCTCTTTACAGAGGAGGCCTTTGCCCACCGGTGGGACATTTATAGGCTACTCTACGTTACTTTTAACTTACAGTTGGCCTGTAAAGCCGTAGCAGCCTTGCCGATTGCACAATATGGAATGCGTTGATCACCGGCATCTTTGGTTATCTACAAATGACGCTTGTTAAATATACAGATGCAATAACATGACAAATTACTTAAACAGATCAGTGCTTTCTATACTTTTCAAAGCCCCCTGAACCCTATATCTGATCCTAAGACGTTAAAAATGAAAATGACTACTGCTTACATTTATAGAGGGTTTATTTTTTTATTGATAATTCAGCCACTATATAAAAGCTTTTGTATTTGTGCTAAAACTACTATAATACCTCGCCTTAAAGACGCTTCTTCCAGAACAATTGTCTAAACAAAAATATTATCTATACAACGAAAAGTAAAAATTGATATTGTATTATATTGTATGTATGTATATAACCATTATAAAAATTTTTAGTCTTAAAATTAATCTATTTAATGATATATTTTTTTTACCTTTACACTTTACATGCAAAATGTACAATATTTTTGTAACAATAAATTATGAATAACGATTAGGAAATATAACTTAAAAGAAATGTAAAAAATGTGATTATTTATTCTACAAATATGTTAATGACTTGAGGTCAGGAGACCTATTGACATATTCCAGATTTGAAGTTTTTTGCTTTCAGCGTAGCTCAAACTTTTTGCTTTCTAGTTCTTAAATTACTTACCTGTGCAAATATATATCCTCTTCGGAAACAAGGTGTTTTGGCAGTTTTTTAATTACATTTTTAAGGAATTTTGTGTAATCCATTTGGGATACTTATTCGACGATAAAAATTCTTTACTTATGTCTAAAGAAAATTGGTGACTAGCAACGTACGCTATTTCCAAAACATTTAAAATGTTACTCAGGCAATTTTAAACCGATTGTGATCAATCTACGTTCCTCGTCATAATATTATAAGTACTGTGCGTAGGTACTATAAATACCCAATTTTCAAAAGGTTGTCAACGCATCTGCAACCCTTGGGCGTATTGTTGAGATATGTTGCCAAGTTGCAGATATGTTGCCACATTTTAATAATGTGGGCCCCGGCTACCTCACTCACCAAACGAAACGCCCAAGTGTTACACTTCTACTCTACGCCGGTCTTAGTACCACTCCTCACACTTCTGTGAGGTCGTGGTCCTAACCCGGACGGACCTGCCCATTCGTGCAACAGCAAATACTGTTGCGTGGTCCTACCACAGTAAATTCATTGAGATTAAAGCTAAACCAGCGGCAAGGAAGTTAGGCGTCCTTGCAAAGGTGCGACGAAACTTCACACCGTGCTTCTTACTCTATACAGAGCTTAAGTCTAATCGTGTGTGGAATACTGCTGCCATATCTGGGCTGAGGCTGCAAAATGCCATCTGGCTGGCTTAAGCTCAACGGAGAGACGTTCGGAAAGGCTCATTGGCCGTAACTTGATTAAATCCAATCTCACTGGCCTTGAGTAGAGGCGGAGAGATTCAAAGGAGAAGACAAATATAGAAATCCGAAGAGGATACATACCCCTGAAAAAAGTTAACAAGTCACCCAATCGTGTTGCTCATGTTGATCATACAGAAATATTACACAAATTTAAAACACAAAATATATGAAATGGAAAGAATATTTAAATGAAAACTCTAAAATAAAAGGAATCTAGTATTACTTTGCATTCTGAACCTCTTTATATATTATAAATATTTCTTATTTATATAGAAAAGACATGGTCACAATTGAGTTTACATATCCAAATAAGGATATAAACCCCAAAACAAATTCTGATAAAAAAAATCTTTATACATCATTGATTATTGGTAGAATTTTGTTAAAATGATTTCATTCATTGCACAAAAGAAAATTTATTTCCGTTTGATATGACTTCAATACGGGTCGTGAAAATAAAGAATGCATAAGTACTCTTTAGAAGTTTTATTTTGCCCAACGTGTTTGTCCTTTAAATTTTTAAACTGCTTACTCGGCGGATTCTCGTATCTTGCGTAGAGATTAGCCTGAAAAACTGGCTCTAGAGTCCGCGTCATGTTGAATTGAAAGTTAACGTATCCCCTTTCGTATGGGAATACGTACGGGAAGTTATCCAAATGCGTCATTAGGTTCTTGAAAACGTATTTGCCCTAAAATTAAAATATAAAGTAATAATAATTATTGATTAGAATAATCTTTCGAGATTGTTGTTAAAAGCATACAAAATCACTGATCGATAGTATTTCTATTACCAAATAGAGTCACAGCACTCATTCACACGTTTCGTTTGAATGGTATAAAAAGGATAGCGTAATTAAAGCAATAAAAAAGGGGCATTAAAATTAAATACCTTTTTAACCGACTTCAAAAAGTAGGAGGTATTTTGTATGTGGTACTATGATAAGAAAACCCGGATCTCAGAGAAATCGAGGGCAATCCTCAAATGTTATGTTTGAAGTCAGTTTCTTTTTGTTAAAACTTATTTCATTTCAACATTATTTATTAAATTTTTTTGTCGTCTCTGTTTTCGGCTGCCATAGTACTATGAGTTCTATTCCTGTCCTAGCCACAGCAACGCAAGGCAAGGTATTGAATTGACGACGGAAAAGAATTTAACGGAAAACGTAAACGTAAACGTATGAATAGTGGGAAGATATTGTTTTTCTTTAATGAACCAGCATTAGTTCGGATTTACGAAAGGTAGATCTACAACTGATGCTGGAGTAGAATTAGTTTCACATATCCTGCAGTCTTGGGAGACCTTCTATGATACCCATTGTAATGTTTTGTGACCTTTCTTGACTTTTTAAATCATAAAACTACTATTAAGAATTTGGAATATTATGGTATTCGAAAATCAGCCATCGACATTGTTTCCCCATATTTCCCCATATTCCCTATCGCTAAGATATATGGAACAAAAAACACCTACTAATGGTTTGTCGTTATCGGGGCTAATAGTACAAATGAGTGTTCCTCAGGGATCGACCCTGGGCCTATTTCTGTTTTTAGTCTACATTAATGTTTTGCCATATGTGGTAGAAGGTCTCAAATCGTTTTGTTTGCGGATGACCCTCCAGTATTGTTTAAGGTTAATAGGCAAGTTGTTACGTTAGAAAAACCAAACGAATTACTAAATGTCGTGTCGGGTTGGTTTGCGACCAATAGTTTACTTTGGAACGCAACTAAGACAAAATGTATCTATCAGATTTACTTTATCTAAGTTGTCTCACAAAGGTGAGACAAACATGAAAAGTTGACATCACGGTACGAGCCTGCCCATCCATGCAACAGCAGAATCATATGCGTGACCCTAAAACAGTAATGAGCTATGTGTTTTTCTAGTGTCTAAATTGTTATGGATCAAAAATAAGTGTTGTATACATACATATATAGAAAATTAGCTTTTCGCCCGCGGCTTCGCTCGCGTTGGAGCCCTTAAATAAATATCTTTCTTTAAAAATAGCCTATGTCCTTTCTCAGACTCTAGACTATCTGTGTAGCAAATTTCATTCAAATCGGTTAAGTAGTTTTGGCGTGAAAGCGAGACAGACAGACAGAGTTACTTTCGCATTTATAATATTATCTTATCCTTTAAACGAGCAATTCTTGTATATCCGATTATATATATATAATCGGAATCTCGGAAACGGCTCCAGCGATTTTCATGATATTTAGTATGTGCATAGATTCGGGGGCGAAAAATCGATCTAGCTAGGTTTCATTTTTAGAAAATGCCCTTTTATCCCTGTTTTCAGGGAATGAAAAATATAATTCGAATATAACGGTAAATTTCGCCGCAAGAGAAAATGTCATAATAGCTCGGTCGGTATTCGGGCTGCCCTAAAACAGACGGTCGTGGTTCGCGTCACGATCATTTACACATTTATTTTTTTACTTTTTTTTCGATTCCAGATCATTGCTTTCTTTATTTTTCATTTTTTGTCGATTTGTTATTTTTTTCCCTCTTTTTTTAAAGTTCTTTCTTTTGTGAAAAACATAAGTTCATATTTTCTTATTATTACGTCGGTAAGATCGAAAAATACTATGCATATTTCATTACTCAGTAATTTGTATCTAACTATAATTTCCAAAATACACGATTTACCAAAAAAAAAACACAAACCGAGCAAAGCTCGGTCCCCCGGGTACTAATATTGTTATGGATAAATGTACGTATTCAAATGTCAGTTCCATTGTTACCAAGAATGTATAGCATAAGCCTTGCTCAGTTAGGATCTTCCAAAATTTTATAAATAGATCTTCAGATATTGATTATTTATAAAGTGTTTTTTTTTATTTGTTTTATATCTGACCAAGCCATACCTAGATTAACAAAGTTGTCTTTTAAATTTTGTAAATTTATATGAGCCAAGGACAACGGTAAAAACTATAGGGTTTTTAACATGCATAAACTCGCAAACACATACATGCGAATGCAATATAGAGCAAATAAAGGCGTTAACGGTTTAAAATGCAACATCTTACAGGTAAGATTGGACACCTGATTCCTTGATTGTAAAAAGCCTCCCCTATTAAAGGCTCTCTCAGGAAATCGCATAAGTTTCTGTGTATATCAATAAAGGTGCGCTGGTATTTGTACTTGACTTGCTCGTAGAATACTGTATGTAACTGAAACCAAGGATTGAATTTTTATGACCGTTGTTTGTGCCATCCTCTTAAAAGAAAACAGCAAACATTACTACGGAATAAACTTGTGTCTGAATTCGATAATTCGTCAATATCTCGGAATGGGGCTGCCTATATTAATTAGTCCAATTCGACTCTAAGAAGACACAAGTTTACCCGTTTACCGCGAAGGAGAAACCCTTTGTAGTGTGTCCTGTTTTTGAGGGCTCCCTTTGTTGCCACAGGCGCGATCGGGAATCTTGAAATTGAAATATCGAGAAGCGTTCAATTTCGTGGTCCCTTTGAAGAGAAAGCCAAGCTGGCTACTAAAAGCTTGGTGTCCCATACTGTTCTCATCTCTGGGTTGGGGCGCACCAAAACCAACTACTCCCATTGGACCACATCCAACGTAGAGCTCGAGTCGTGGGCGACCAGGCCCTTCACAATCTTCCCGGTCCTTTGGCCTTG